CTCTCTTTATTGACCCCCCTCCTCTCTTTATTGACCCCCCTCCTCTCTTTATTGACCCCCCTCCACCTCCTTTTCCCTGTTGATATAACAGTTGGTAAAGCGGGGCATTATTCTCCGCACAAAACCGTTTAGATTATCATATCATATCAATACAGCGCACAATGCAGCAGAATTTCACTTTCATCGTTCTTAAGACCAGCTAAATACTGTTTAGATTCCCAGCAATGAGAGAAGATGAAACGACAAGCTCGGTGGCGGCGGCGGCATTGTGCGAGAGACACAGAGTCGAGCCATTTATCTCCCACAATCGCCATTGTTTGCATTTCTCCCATTATTCTGAAATTTAAGATTGAAATCGGAAATGTTTCTTAGTGGAGAAGACATGTGAGCTGAACTTATATTGCTTCAGTCTTCTTTTGTAAAGGGTACCTGTCATTAGGAGAATAGTATAAATGAGCAAAGTCACTATATGGCCAAAGGTTTGTGGTCATCTGGCCATGACACAGGTATGAGATTGCTGGACATCATTCCAAAAACATGGCCATTAATATGGATTCTGACCTTTTATGAGGTTATAGCAGCATCTGCTCTTCTTGGAAGGCTTTCCGTAAGATTTTAGAGGGTGTTTGTTGGAATTAGTATCCATTTGTGAGGTCAGGTACTGATGTTGGATGGGAAGACCTGGCTCGCAATCAGTGCTCCATTTCATCCTAGAGGTGTTCTCGGTGTGCCCAAGGAGTGGTATGAGTCCCATCACTGCCCCAAAAGCAGTATGGAACCAATCACTGCCCAAGGAGCGGTATGGGTCCCATCACTGCCCCAAAAGCAGTATGAGTTCCATCACTGCCCAAGTAGTGGTATGGGTTCCATCACTGTCCCAGAATCCTATCAGTGCCCCAGTAGCAGTATGGTTCCTGTCATTGCTTCAGAAGTGGTTTGGACTCAGGATTGTTATTGTGCCTGTCACTGTCCCAGAACCTTTGTGGGTCCCACTGCCCCTAAAGTGGTATGGATCCCATCACTGCCCAAAAATGGTATGGGTTCCATCTCTACCCCAGAAGTGATACGGATCCCTTCACTGCTCCAGAACTGGTATGGGTACTGTCACTGCCCCGAAAGCTGTGTTGGCTATGGATCCTGTCACTGTCCCAGATGAGGCATGGGTTCCATTCCTGCCCCTGAAAATGTATTCGTCCTGTCATTGCACTAGAAGCAGTAAGGGTCTCATCGCTGCCTCACAAGTGGTATGGGTTCTGTCTGCTGCCCTAAAATGGCTGTAGGTCCCATCACTGCCCCAAAAACAGTGTGGGTTCCGTTACTGCCCCAGAACCATTACGAGTCCTGTCACTGCCACAAAAGCGGTTTGCATTCCATCATTGCCCTAGAAGCAGTATGTGTCTCACCATCCAAAGACTGGGGGTCCTGGCTTGTTTGATTAGCACAGATACTATGAGGGTGGCAGCCAATCAGATTAGAACTTTGTGTTACCGTTTGTGCCGTCAGGATGTAGGGATCTCTCTGTGTGATACCCATGTTACAATAACTGCTCAGAAATGACACAACTTTGGATGACATTGTCCTTTTTAGGCCTGTTTGGTGCACACCACCGAGACCATCCGAGTCCGTTACTTCATGGACAAACTGTTGGAGAAGAAGAGGCCGGTCATGTTGGTGGGGAACGCTGGGACTGGGAAGTCTGTGCTGGTTGGCGAGAAGTTGTCTTCTCTGGATCCTGATGAGTACTTGATCAAGAATGTCCCCTTCAACTACTACACCACGTCCGCCATGCTGCAAGGTAATGAGTGACACTATTACTTTCTGCTTTCACTTTGGTGGTCATGTGAACACCCCATTGTGCTGGTAAGAAAAGCTGCTTTCTCCATTATCTGTGGGGGAGCACATTGGCTGCCTCCATCATGTATTAAAGCAACATGACTGTCTCCACTCTGTGTGGACCAAATTACTGTCTTCGTAGCATTAAAGTGACATTAAACCCTCAGATTTTTTAACATAAACCAATACTGTAATGTGCGCCTTACTGTAATCCATGGTAGTTTCCCTTCTCTTTGCTGCTCTTCCTTTTAAATCCTCATGACTTCTCATGCTGGGGGAGAACTTCCCTTTGCAGCTCAGGGCCTCTTCCTGTAGTGCTGGCTCAGGTTACAAGCCTATACAAACGTATACACAGACACCGTGTATCCATTCCTGAGACAAAGCAGTCTGCTGCAAAACAGAAGTTCTGCAGAGCATGAGAACAGATACAGATTTAAAAGGAAGAGCAGCAAAGAGAAGGGAAACAACCATGGATTACAGTGAGGCACACATTACAGTATTGTTTTATGTTAAAAAATCTGAGGGTTTAATGTCACTTTAAGCATGATGTCCATACGCATTCTATCATCTGACTGAGGTGGTGATGTTATCTTATTGAGTTCTTAGGCTGCATTGCATGTATGAGAACCAAATGGCCGTCATGTGATTGAGACTCTCCTACCATTCAGTCATGGGGGAGTTTCCTGGCCACTGGCTGGACTTGCGTGTCCTAAAATACAGATATGCTGCAAAAACAAGATCTGTTTCCCAATGTCTGCGCAGTTTGACCCTTTAACAGGACTGTACAAAATGGCTGAAATGTACCCTTATACATGCAACCAAATGTGACTAGGAGACAGGGCGCTCATAGACACACAAGGTGACTGCAGTTTAGGGGTAGGCAACCTTGGAACTCCAGCTGTGGTGAAACCCCAAGTCCAATAAGGCATTGCAAGACTCTGACAGCCACAGGCATGACTCCCAAAGGAAGAAGCATGATGAGATTTAGAGTTACAACACAGCTGGAATGCTGAGGTTGGCTGCCCCCCTGTGTGTAGTGTGTATTAAGGGATGCCAAGTCACCAGCACCCCAGACATGAAACTCCTTTTCACAAATTTGTTGTGAAGAACAGTGTCGCAGACATATATACCAATGTTTCGGGGGCTCACAGGGTCCTTTTCTCAAGGCAACATGAAATGTGGTTATGACATGCGCCATCCGACACTTTGAGCAGCCATCATTTATATATTTTTCTTTTTTTTGCATAATGATGTAAAATAATATGATTTAGGGACTTTTGGCTCAAGAACAGGTCCAGAGCTTCCATAACTCCTAAAGGAGAACTATGAGGCGAGTAAAAATCATTCAACCTCATAGTTCGAGCCGACGTGTGACAATAATACTGTCACACGTCGGCTTAATAGATCGGGAAGTGAGCGAACACTCACTTCTCGATCATCTCCCTGCAGAAAGCCACGACTATCACTCCGGGCTCCCTGCAGGGATTCCCCTCCCCTCTCCAAGCGGCTCTGCCCATAGTTATTCAGAGCCAGCTGTCACTCACGCAGCTGCGTGGATCTCGACAGTAATGTCCGGATCAGTCCCGGCTGCGGCGGTCTCAGTATACCGCGAGCTGTAGCTCGCGATATACTGAGCTTTGGGTCACGGGAGGAAGCTAGTTTATGTCCTCCCGTGACCCTTAGGAGAATTCATTACCTAGTGCAGGGGTAGCCAAACTCCGGCCCTCCAGCTGTGGCGAAACTACAAATCCCATGGTGCATCTCTCTCCGAGAGTCATGTCTGTGGCTGTGAGAATCTTGCAATGCCTCATGGGATTTGTAGTTCCACCACAGCTGGAGGTCCGGAGTTTGGCTACCCCTGACCTAATGTGTCTATAACCTAGAGCAAATTGGCATGCTGGGAGTTCTCATCACTGGACACTTGCTTGTTCACAGCCAGTGATTTTCGAGGTAGTGACATGCGGACAGGTTCCCTTTAAAGCTGTTGGTACCCTTCTAGAAAATGAGGGAAGTATTCTCATCAGCCAATCACAGCGTTTTTTTTTAAAATTGAGATGTAAATCTCATGGAGATTGAACGTGCATTTGACAGTCTTCTCTCGAGCACCGCACAGGTCTCTATGTCACAGCTTGGCGCCGTTTGATGCCGGGGGGGACTGTGACTGTCATACGCAGTGTTTAGGTGCCAGTATATATTATTACTAAAATGTTGCACTGCCACAAATAATATATATGAGCCACAGCTAATCAGTGTTGTTATGGTAATGTCTGTACACATATCTGAGCTGTCTGTGATTATTATGTAGTTGGCTGAAAGAAGGAAAGAAAAATAAATAAGAGAATTTGTATTGGCAGGTCTGGGCTGCCTGCTGGCATGTACAATTCTTCCACCCACAGGAACGCATTTCAAAGGTCATTATTTTCTCTATAAAGAAATATAAATGCACCCTAGCAGCAAAGTAGGCTGAACCCTGCACGGCGAGTAGATCAGAATATTCTGTATATGTTAAAACACTTTGTGATATTAACAACGGTTACAAAGCATACAAAACTCTCACCACTCCAAATCTGCAGTTGGATTCCTGTGGTGAAGATATGCCAGGTGGCGGCTAGAAGGTGCGTCTTCACCTGCAGTCACTCCAGTTCAGAAATAGCCGCACTCCATGGATCTTCCATTACATATGGAAGATCCAAGCTTTATTGTAATCCACAAACCGATATACACCACATTACGCTCCCCATTGTAAGAGAAACCTTCTCATGCGTTTCACCAACGAGGCTTAAAGTGACAATAAAGTCAAATCCCCCCCCTGTACACCCCCCCCCCCCCCCCATGCTGCTTTAAGGACTTACCTTAAAGGAGAACTATGGGGGTCAGGGCTTTTCCCCATAGTTCTCCTAAGGGTAACGGGAGGACACAAACTAGCGTCCTCCCGCCTCCCAAAGCTCAGTATAACGCGAGCTACAGCTCGCTGTATACTTAGACGCGGCAGCCGGGATGGATCCCGACATTCCTGTCTGGATCCACCCAGCTGCGTCAGTAACAGCTGGCTCTGCCTATCTAGAGGCTGCGCGCGGGCTGCGACTGTCCGAATACAATAGCTGTCAGATGAGATTCCTCCATCCACGCTCTATAGTGTAGATGGGGGAAACAAGCGGTTTTCTTTTATTCAGCCAGCTATAAGTGTATGGCCCGCTTTATAATGCAAATTATGCTATTTGCTCTCACAGGGAAATACATTTCAGCACAAGGTCACTATACCTGCTAAAAGAAGAGGGAGAAGACTTACCTTTCTGGTAGCCCGTGACTTGAACTGCCACTGCAAGCATTCCAGAGTTCCCGGTGTGTGGAGTACCTGCTCCCCTGCCACACACTGTATTTCTCCGGCTGGCTCGTAGATCACTACAGGACATACAAGCCAGTTGTGGGTACCATAGAATACATTGGGGAAAATTGATATTTGGCCCATCTGGCCAGCCATTACATATCTCATTTAAGTTGCAGTAGTGTCACCTTCTATGTGCCTCTCTATGCAATGCGGACAGATCATGAAAGGTGGGAGGGGCCAGCAGGGTGCTGTGATGTTTTCAGGAAGTTATGCCACAGTACTCGCAAGCCGTGGGCTGGCTCATGGGAGGAGTTATACAAATATCAAAATACCTTAATGGGTGGATGTCTGTCTGGAAAAGTGACTGGTCCTAGGCACACACTGCATTTGTATGTAGACCCCCCTAGGTAATGTGGCACTGAGCCTCCCTGATTAAAAGACCTGAAATCCAATGAATGAAAGGGGCCAGGGACAGTCAGACTGTGAGGAGAAAAGAGCTAGAAGATGCTTGGTGTGCTCCAGCATTAAAATGAGGCAGGCTCTATCTGACTTGCTGCAGCTTCTAATGCACATGGCGAGGAGCTCGTAGTGTGCAGTGAAATCAGAGGAAGTCATTGCAGTCCAGGAGAGGAGCCGGTAAAACTGTGCAAGACTGACTCAAGCTAGAAGCTTCAGCATAGCATTGCATGCTGTCATTAATCTATGATCTACCAGAACACCCAGATTCTTCTCCAAATTTACTCTCCCCCCCCTTTCCCATTGTACACCCCCTAAAATGATTTCATGTTTTAAACTCCAAATGCATAACTTTACCTGTCTGTTTTCCCCATTGTTCCATTTAAAAGATTCCCTTCCACTTCCGTCCTGTAGACAAAGCAGGAAGAGGAGATGAAATCTCTCTAAAGTCAAGAGAGACCAAGTGACGACGGACGATGGAGCCGATTTCCCGGCCAATCAGGAAGCCGGCCAGCTTGCAATGACTCGATGCCCGGCTTCCTGATACCGGAAGCTCAGGTATCCGGTTAGGCATCGGAGCATTTAGGCGAGTATGAGTACTCGCCCAAATACTCAGCACTCATACTGGTACCGGTGCATCCCTAAGAAGACCAGGTACAGCCACTTTCATCCTAAAGCCCATTTGAACTTTCAGTTTAAATACATTCCATATATAAGGTGTGCAAAGCCTTAAAGTTTGTTTACTTTAGAAAGCATCCACAGCCTGAGTAGAAAAGCCTGTTCCCTGCCAGCGTGCTGCAGAGGAGGACCCTTGCTCTCTGTGTGGAGTCAGAGCTAGAGCTCTCCAATCACCTTTAAGCATGAGATTTACTGTTTGAGGTGCTATAGGTCAGCAGGGGTGCCCTGTTGGGCTTTCCACTGAGAGAGCAATGGTCCTTCTCTGCAGCATGCTGGCAGGGGACCGGCTTTTCTACTTAACCCCTTTGGAAAGAAAACAAAGTGTAAGACTTTGCACACCTTTCCTTTTGACGCGCTTGGAATGTATTTAGCTCATTTAAACTGGGTGTCCAATTAAGCTTTACAGGACAGGTTTAGGTTTTCTTAAAAAAATGTCACCTCCCTGGCCACTTAAGCATACGCAGATGAACCGCCCCCCCTTCCTCTCAAGTGCATATTTACCTCTGTCATTGGAGGCATCATCTGGCATTGCCTGCACCTCAGCTGGTAGAGTTCTATCGACTTGAATGCAATGCACCCGTAATCCAGGATCAATGTACCATTCAAGTCTATGGGTGGCTCAGCTGTGTATGTTTGAGGGGCTGAAAACTTATGCTGGTCAGACACGTGGCAATCATTCAATACAACAAATGTTTAGAGTATTTGTTTAAATTTTTTTTTTTTTAAATGGATTGAACTAAATGAGCGGCTGGATCAATAAGCGGCAGTTTTAGAGCAAAAGATAATTTCGCACAATGAGATCTGCGATCGATGGATGATTTAAAAGAACTGCGCTGGCCTTACACAGACCAAGAACATTAATGTCATGTCTGGCAGGTTCTGAGCGCAATTCCCAATACATACACTTGATGGCATTGTTATGACACGATGCTTTGTGTACCGGAGCGGGTTCTGTGCAGCTGGGTAATGACCAGAATGTTAATGTGCAGCTCGCTATTGAGCAGAGTCCAAGTCTGCATGTAGGACATTGTGAGCGAGAACAAGTCTCTATCCTATTTCTCCTTAATAATCAGAAACGCTTTGTATTCCGCAATTAGATTCATGACTCTGCAGCAACATCGTTCTCAGCCAGGGTAAAGCTGCTTGTATACATCACACAGTGGAGTCGAAGACCTGTAAAATGATGAGGACATAAACATGCACAATCATTTCAGCCAAGCACTCATGTTTATGCACAGGGCAACATAAAAAGAAGGTGCAGCTCTAATGTTATAGAATGTAGTTGAACAAATACACTTTGGATAATCCGTTCATGGTTGATTGGCCAGGGTTTAGCGGGAGACTGCTCGTAGATGGACAATTGTTTCCTGATCCAGCCATACTCAGTCAGATAGATGACTGTCATGATGGCCTAAAGGCAACACTCCTGGAGTGCTGGAGGTATGATGAGGGTATGATGGACGTATAATCAGACAATGATGGAGGTATGATGAGGCTATAATGGAGGTACAATGATGAAATGATGGAGGTATGATGAGGATATGATGGAGGTGTGATGGAGGGATAATAAAGGTATAATGGGGTAAGATGAGGTGTGATGGAGGTAAGATGAGGTGTGATGGAAGAATATTGGAGGTGTGATGGAGGTAAGATGAGGTGTGATGGAGAATATTGGAGGTGTGATGGAGGTATAATGAAGGTGTGATGGAGGGATAATAAAGGTATGATGAGGTGTGATGGAGGTAAGATGAGGTGCGATGGAGGTAAGATGAGGTGTGATGGAGAATATTGGAGGTATGATGAGGTGTGATGGAGGTATAATGAAGGTGTGATGGAGGGATAATAAAGGTATGATGAGGTGTGCTGGCAGAATAATGGAGGTATAATGAGCCTTTCAAGCAGGTGTGACAAAGGTGTCATGGACTTACAGCATGAGGTGTTATTGAGATCTAATGAGGTATGATAGATGTATGCAGAAAGATAAGAGGGCGGTGTGAAGGATGTGTATGATGGAGATGTGAAGGATGTATATGATGGTGGTGTGATTGATGTACATTATATAATGGGGGGGGGGGGGGAG